TCAAGGGACGTCCCAAAAACAGGAAGGTTCACTACCTTTGGACATCTTGCTGGATACGTATCAAATTACCCCGTCTGAAGAGTTTGTCGTGCAGACAGGAAAGATAACTACAGATTGAAGATACTCAACGCGAATCAGAGCGCTAGTGACGACACTCGAGGTGAATCGAAGACGTAAAGCGTACCAATCAAAGGTAGCGTGCTATTCTGTTCAGTTTAAACGAGAGAGGTGTTAGACGGGCTTACGCTTCACAGTCGCTCACAGCTAGATAGTTTGACATTCGTAACTGTCTCGTCACGTGATTGTGTTGGACGCATGCACGACAGTCGTTCAGAGCTAGACCACTTACCATTCATGACCATGTCCTCAAGTGTGGTTGGCCAATTGATCTTTTGTGTCCGAGCTGCTCAGCTTTGTCAGCTTTTCCATACAGCTCGTCCGGCACGGTGGTGTTCTAGCTTCCCGTTGGGAGTGGGTTAAGTTATAGTCAGACGTTATAATACTTTTTCCATGAATTTTACCGAGAAGCTTACCAAGCGTCTCTCTCGATTGCTAGGGGAAAAGTTATCTCGGCCCTTGGTCAGGAAAGCTTATCAGGATGCTCTGGGTACTGTAGTTTCACCATCTCACCCTACTGACATCGAGCTTTAGTGAATCAGGGTCTTGGCTGCTTTAAAAGCTTCGGGACCCTGTGTCAGCGGTACTCATATTTGCCATTGCACCAGTCAGTGGAGATCCGAATTGTTTTCCTCGGGCTGAGTGGCCTTGAGCACAAGGCCACAGGCAGGAGCGCCCTACTCTATGCTTGTAAGACTTGACCTATTCACTCTGAGGATCTTAGGTGCCTTTCAGAATTTGATCATTTCTACATGCGGAGCATTGCGGGTATCAGATGTCCGCAGCGTGTCTGCCAGGATGATGTGTGTAGACGAGTGCTAGACAGGGCTAATCTGGCTGTCTATGTAGCGGAAGACGAAGTCATTGACGACCAATCTAGGTACTGTTAGTCCGTCTCGTCTTCCAGGCTGGAGTCCACCTGCCTCGCCTTGCACTTGGCTAGAGAGGTCAGAGGAAGGGGGCCACAGTCTGCGTCAGTGGCGCGTCCACTGTTGTCTCCTAGTCTGACTGCTTGTTTGAAGTGTGTTTGGTGCTGAACCGTCTGCTGAGGTATGGCTGACTATAACAGGGGGAAGCAAGAACCGCAAGGAATCTGTCTGACCGATGCAGCCTTATCTTTGCACGATATCCAGCTGTTTGCGAAGCCAGATTGTTGACAAGAAGTAGGCACTTTGACCTTGAACGTTTGCCTAAGGTATTAGAGTTTTATGCTAGGTTCCTCTTCTCTACCACTTATTATCTTTTTTCCTTTGGTGAATGTGGTTGTGCGGCAGCGAAGCATTAGTTTAAGTGGCTGATGTAATCTTGTTATTGTTGTTGTTGTTTTGTCGGTCAAACTCACTTCTGGTTTCTCCGCGTGTTTTCCATAATCCGACTGATTGCTCTCCTCCTTCTCCTCCTCCACATTTGTTACCACTTTGGGCTTGGATTATTTACAATACCGAATCAATTCCTTGACTTTAGCGTTTTCTGATTTGTGCATGTTTGTCCATTTCCAAGGGTGTTCCAAAGTACCATCCATACTTGCTTTGGCTTTTTCTCTTGGAAAGGGAGGTTTATCAAGTTACCGACCCAAATACGTAGACAATAGCAATTGTATCGAACGTGATTCGTTAATGGCGCTGGTTCTCATGTATTCCGTAGGACGACCATCGAAGTGTTTCATTGCTGACTTCTTGATTGTTGAAAAACAATGGTTCATGGCGTTGTTGACCATAACCCAATGAGACAAATAGCCGATTACAGAATATGGATTGGACCACTGGCGATGACGACACGCTGCGGACGAGTCCCAGTATGACGAAGCAAACGTCCAGCGCTGTACTGCAAATACGCCCCCAGCATCATCAACAGCAGTACATTAGCCGTCTGAATTGATGCTTCCCTGCTATGCAACCACAGTGACCTACGGAGGGAAGAATTCCAAGAGGGCGACCGAGAATAAAATCGTAACGCTTTAAACGAACATTCAGGCTCGAAACGCCTGCACCACGTATTAAAAACATACCATCACACAGAGGCACGGAGCCCAAACTGATTTATTATGGATATAGTGAGTGCCGTTCTTTCGTCCAGGTGATTGCCACTGCTCGTACTCTGACACAATGGATAGTATCTACACTGTGACTCAACACTGAATTGATTGGATCTGGTCCTCGTCACAATTGCGCGGTCATTAGCAGGGCCAAAACTATTACCTGTGGTTTACGCGATACCCGTCTCTTAGTGGTTTCCTCCTAGCCACAAGACCACACACGACTATTTTTCATCTGACCACAAGGTCACATGCTATTGATTGCTGAAGCCAGTGTTAACACCACAGGTCTGCTATCAACGCGAGGTCAGTTCCATCGTCACTGAGTGGATAAGCACTTTTGTGTAATTAGTGTACTGCCTCAGACGTGTACATGCTCAACTGCTTATTAACTTCTTCTGAAACAATTACTTTCAAAAATGTAAAACAGCAATACGAAACGATATTTCGCTGAATAACCTGAAGTTAGATTACTTAATCTAAGCCGACTCATTTTTCCATGATTAATTTTAAGTAACAAGTTGTACTGTCCAGATGGTGCTTTGAAAAGGTGACAAGGTGTTTAGCTCATAAGATCTATGTAGCATAAATCGTGCTGGACGGGACTGTAACTAAATTTCTAGTTACTATCAAACGAAGTATAAGCGATCCTTGGTTCGCAACTTTTTCACGTCAGCTTGCCAAATCTACTCGGAAGAGTCCATGAAGAGTGAGCTACGGTACATTGTGTTCACGCTACAAACACCCTATGAACTTATCACCAAACACGTGAAAGAAAAACCAGGGAAGAAAAACGGCCCGAAGACCACAAGGAAAAGGTTTTCACTGCACTGCCTTTCAAACAAGAACCAAATAATAAAATGTTCTTCCACATCCTGCGCCAATCTGTGACGAGGAGTTATTATGTATACAGGCTGGTGTTACAACAGCACGGCAGAAATTGGTGCATAAAGCTTGACTGGTAAATGACCAAGTCCAGCTACCGTCTCATACGTTAGAATATCGTACATTAGTATTGTACAGCTTTAAAAATGTGCGACAAAATCAATGTTGAAAACGTGCAACGGTCCTTTACCAAACGGTTAATGGGACTGGGCTCCTTGGGTTATCGACAACGGTGTGAATTGCTGAGCCTAGAACCATTATGGTTGAGAATTAAGATTGACCTAATCTTCCTGTTGGATTTTGCTCACACCAGTTCTGAGGAACAGGATATACAGCCTTATGGGATAAGCTGCCCGAATTCATTCGACGCAAAAACACTAAAATAAATTGCGTGCTCTAGTGTTAAAGTACATAACTGTAGAGGATGTATCACATATACTGGGTGAATCTACGTCAGTGGACAATATTTATGAGAAAGGCCATATAAAACTTTAAATGTCGAGTCTCACATTGATCGCATTCTGAATTCTCATCGGCTTAGATCTCACCTGGTATTTTAACCTTGTGACCTTGCGTATCTATCAACTTTTCATTTTAGTTTTCCATGTTCAATATTCTCTTCACCCCACTTGGGCCACCGGGTATGCATGCCGTTAAAACGTTTCAATTCACTTAGTTTCGCTGGCAATCCTAACCGTCCTGCACTGGTTACAGATCATTTGCTTTCTTTTATTGATTTGTCTTGATTTTTAACATACACCTAACTACTCCATATCATAACTGTTGCGGGTCCGTCAAATATTCCAGTAAAAACGCGCCAGAAACCACGGCAGAATGGCTGTGGAAAGCGAGATTCAATTCCTCCTCACAAGGCAGCAGCGTTCAGCCACTCCGAGACGCGGTACAACTGCGCACCTTTTGATAATTGTCCCTTACAAACTACTACCTCGTTGTGGTAGCAATTTCCCCTTAATAACCCATTGCATTGGCTGCGATTCGCACTTTGTTGGTCGTAAAAGAGCTTTCAGAGGACCACTTGCCTTTTTTTCTTCGCCTTATTTGGGATTCGGTTGGTCACGTGATTTTGTGTGCGTCCTTAACCGGGCAGCGTTCACGTCCAAGACACTAGCGCGTGTCTACCGTAACCCCCTCGTGTGCGTCCGTTCCGAGGGCTCAGCGTCTACCCGAACACGTGCGGCTAGGATCGTTCTGACGCTCGCTCAATTTCCGCGTCACCAGCGCGTACCCCGGGCTAAGCTAACGCCATCAGGTCAACGCAAATCCGTTCGATTGACCAGCGTTCCAATCCATTACCGTAGGCGTACTCTAATCGTGCCAGTGACAATCTTATCAGGCATCTACGCAATCATAACACAGGCGTTCCCTCAATTATAACAATAACATTCCAGCTACTTGGTTAACTGTTTCTCTGATGAAACCACAAATGTGACCCAGGCTTTTTTCTCTCCCCTTCACTTCATCTTGGACATATCTTACCTGTTATCAGACTTGAACGCCCGTGCTTTGCTAATGACAGCACTGACAGACTGATACAGCGGGAAGCCAAATCCTTTTTAGGACCTTATTATCATCTTGCTCGTTAATATTTCATATTCATTTAGCCCGACCTGAAAGTTGACCGTGTGTCAGAATGGCCTCTGTCATCTTGATAGCCGGACTTCCAAGACCTTCGATTACCACTTCACTTTACCTTGATCATCTCCCCGAAATTCCCTTTTACATGGCATTATTCCCCGACATGTTCCTCTTAAACCTCAGTATCAGTGATAGGTGGACACCCAGCTCCTTAATATTTTTCGCAAACCTCTTCCACCCTTGTACTATTATTCGTACTTTACCCTGGCGTAATAAAGTTGACATCAATCAGAATCAACACAGAAGTGATGGCAGGTGAAACACACCAGCATTAACCCAAACCAGCATTAGGCAGAACCGCACATATGGTAACTACGAACCGGCGACGTTGTTGATAAATGCTCAGTGTAGAGCGATAACCGGAATAAACATTATCACTTTTCAGACATTGGTGGATGCAGAACTTCCAACAGCACTGCGAAAAAGCGCAACGATGCCGGATAATCGTACAAATGTGGCCCTGAAGTAGAAAGCACACAAATAAACGTGAAAAATCGCTGAGGAGAACAGGGACAAAATGGTGGAGCAGGGACACGGGGAGAGATCATCAAATTTCGTAGAGAAAGATTAGAAAGAAACCGGAAGTGGGGTCTCCACAGATTGCGCCATGTGAATATTAAAGGGTCGCGCAAACGGCGCGGAAAAAAATTTGCAAGGCAGCACGTGCTGGACGTGTGAGGATGAGCAGTTTCTGTCAGCGTAACAAAACACCACCGGTGCAGAGATTCAAAATGAACCAAAGAGAGTGAATAAAAAGCACTCAGGTACAAAAATTCGATAAAAGAATGCGTTTCCAAACACAGTCAACGGGAAAATGTGCAGAGTGATTGCCTGCTAAATCTGCTTAAAAAACAAAATTGTATTTCCCTACCCAATGTGCGAACGGAAAGCACCCTGAGCGTGTCCTGTGCGGTCTTCGTCGCTTTGCTGCACACAGTACTAATTCTTTCAATCTGTGGAGGTCAATTTTCTTCGTCTGCCTCTAAGAGTTGTCAAACAACTGTTCCAAAATACTGGTTCCATTTGATGGACACTCGGATTGGGCACTGTTCGATGAACAAAGGGAGCCGTTATTTGCAGACGGACGGACAGTATTCAACTGAAGCATCCCATTCACATACCGGTTGTGCAGCTCCGAAAGGAATTGTTTGTTCAGCGTGGATCCGTGTCGCAAGTGCGCGCAGAACAGATTCGCCACTTGGTATGGACACAATTCGCAGAGTGCCTTCAGACCGGAGACCAAACAGGCCAGATCGAACGTCATAGCCGTGGTGGAACCAGATCTATCCGATGCATTCTCTGCAAATGGAACAGCTGGTGATGACAACTGATGTTGGGATTCAGTGTTTGATGCAACACTGAAACTTCGTGCCGCTTCCGTGGGTGTCCCGACGTATCTAGACGCTCTGATCACGTTCAAACCGATGTTGGGTATGGCCTCCGGTTCTTCAGCTGATGAGAATAGAAATGCAAAAAAGACGGAGAGGTTGGAATGCCGAACCTCATAAGGGATAGAATAGGTATATTTCTCAAGTACGAAGCATTTTGGCACAGATCATATATACACACGTACTAGTATGCTCTTTCATGGGCAATGTAAAGTGATGAATTACAAAATGACGGTATATATATCTCGACACTGTAGGGCACAGTCTGACTGGATGGTATGAATAGGACTTAAAGCGGAATAGCATGGAACACGTGTATTTGGTTTGGACTTTTCCAGAACAGTTCTTAAGCTAGTTTTTGGTCTGCATGGCTAATTGATCGGAGATTGAGAGTTTGGCACAAATAATAAATGTAGATAAATCCAAATATTAAGGTAAAGTAATACGGCCATCCATGGAACTGTCTCGTGGGGACCTGCTTCCATGTAGGGTATTCCCTCGAGGGGTTTCATTTTTACTTCCATATCCAACCTGGCCAGGTGTCAGTGTGGCTTTTAAAGCGAGTATGCCATTATCTTTGTGACTCCATTTGAGAGCTATTTGGATGTGTGTACAGTGTGGACAAAAAAGCCATTTAGCCCGTACCATCAATCGGTTTGTTTTAGTCAAGTACTTTCTCTCGCCAGAGAGGCAATGACAACGCAACTTGCATGGATGTAATTATTAGCATTGGAATGTTCAATACGTCAGGAGACCGGCCTAATCATCGCCAATAACGAAGTAAAGAACCATCTAAAATATGTGGAGATTGACGGCATCCGATTTCGGATTTGCCTGTCACTGTGGCCAGCTACTGGACGTCTGCGTCTACAGACGGACCATGGGTGACTTGCGCTGCACCACGCACAGCTCCAAGCACACACCCCATATCCAGTGTAAACCCGAAGGAATAAGACCGGGAGGCATGTGGATGGGAGCCACGTTTCATCAACGGAGCCGGCCCACACTCCTTCGCGAGCGAACACAAGCGCGCCGTATTTGGGGAATCAATCGCACACAGGGCGGTGGCTGGACCGTAGTCCGCTCCACACTGAGTGCATGGAACCACCCTTTGATCCTAAAACGGCCACAGGAACCGTACACCTAGTCCCCTCCAGCAAAGACAAACTGTCTCCTGGAGCCAGTATGGACGAGGTAGTGGGTAATAGACAGGTAGGCACCTTGTCAACATGCACATCAAGCGCAGTCACACCGGGGATATCAAGCAACAGCTAATCACTTGAGAGAAAGCTAACAAAAGAGAAAAACTCGATTAATGCATAAGGAAACGGTGACATAAACCTTAAGTAAATAGCATATGTAATAAGTTGTTTACAAACAGATCCTAGCTAAGTGCACGAGGTCAGGAAGTATAGTTCACGGAATGCCACGAACACAAAAATGTTATGGAAATCGAATACAATTGGCTGAAGCGATGTGTGCAAGTTAATGGAATAGAGTACAGGGAGATATTTATATGATAAAGAAAAGCATTAAGGTAAAAACTGTAAACCCACCACCTGAAATAAAGAGACTTAGCATGCAAGCACGCGGTTAGTAAATCGAATTCAGCGTGCCTACAAACGCTGCGCCGGTGCTGCCTGCCTTCACTGCAGGACCCGTCGTCGCTTCGGCAGTGGTCCCGAGTGACCTCTCTCATGGCTCACTAGGCCTGCCTGACTAAGGCACTCGCGACCGCACGTTCTACAGCACAATGCGCTCGATGTCGATGGAGTACAATTCATTGGTGCTTGCCGCTTCCGCAACTGCCGCTTCTTCTCTGCATGCATGAGGCTTTCTCCCGCACTTCAGCAACTGCCTTCGTGATTAGATCGCGCCATGCACCACGATCAACCGCCTTCGAATCCCATGATCTGCAATCAAGATTAGAACGTCTGAGGCTCACTTTAATTATGTCCTGGTAACGTAACTTTGGTTTCCCCACGTGCCGCTTCCCTATACTCAGCTGACCGTATAAAAGTTGTTTCGGTATTCGCGTCAAATCCATACGGCTCACATGACCGAGCCATCTCAGGTGTCGCAGTAAAAGTATGCCGTCCACTGCATACATCCTACTTCGGCGCAACACTTCCGTGTCTGCAACTCTGGCGCCCCAGCCGATCCGAAAAAATTCGTCGCAGACACTGCTGATGGAACCGCTCGAGATATCGCACATCCCCACGGTACATCGTCCACGTTTCACTGCCGTATAGAAGAACGGACAGTACCATGGATTTGTACACCATCAGCTTCGTGCCAATGCTAAGTTGATGGTTGTTCCACACTCGGTACTCAAGCTTCCCGAATGCCGCTGCCGCCTTCGACACGCTATTAAGCAACTCAACGTGTAGCTGCTGATCAGTCGACATCACACTCCCAAGGTAGCAGAAGCGGGAGGTGGTTTCCAATACTTCAGCGTCAATGCTGATTCGCGGCAATATTGAAGATTGCACCTACGGCGAAGGCTGAAAGAGACAGACACTTTTGCTTGTGTTGATGGTGAGTCCGAATTTGGCCGCTGTCGAAACCAGAGCACTAGTCTTGTGCTGCAACTCATCCGCGCTGTGTGAAAACAACGCACAGTCGTCAGCAAACAGCAACATACGGATAGTTGTCTCACAGACTAGAGTTCTCGCACGCAAACGACGGGTGTTCAGCAACCCACCATCAATGCGGTGCCCCACACGAACACCGTAAGCACAAACCGCATCAACAGCACAAGACATCACTGCATGAAGATAGATAATAAACAGGGCAGGAGCTAAGACACAGCCTTGCTTCACACCAGTGACAACTGCAAAGTCATCCGATGTCTCTCCACTAAGCTGCACCCTCGTCCGCATACCACTGTGCAGACATTTAATCAAACTTGCAAACTTACGCGAGCAACCAAACTTACCCAATACCAACCACAATGCCTCGCGGTTCACCGTGTCAAATGCCTTGTGAAATCAACAAAAGCGAAGAAAACGGCTGGTATCGTTCTCTGCACTTCTCCTGCAACTGACGAGCCGCAAACACCATATCTATAGTGCTGCGACCCGAACGGAACCCACATTGCTCTTCCGCCACGTTAGGTTCCACAACCTGACTGACGAGGCGATTGAGTAGGATTCGGGCAATCACCTTGCCAACACAACTCAGCAAGTTGATGGCACGATAATTCGTGCAACATTGCTTGCTCCCTTTGCCCTTGTACAGTGGTAGCACAAGGGCATCCTTCAGCTCAGGAGGCACCTCCTCCTCAATCCATACACGTTGCACCAAGTGGTGCAGCGCAGTCAACAACGCGGGTCCACCGTGTTTCAATACTTCAGGCGCGATCCCGTAGGCCCCAGCACACTTGCCGTTTCGCAGCTGAGCAAGTGCTTTCTGCGTCTCGTCCAGTGTCGGCGTGTCCGCCAGACACGCATTCACATCATGCTGCTTCAGGCCGTCCAGTGTAGGCCAGTCAATCTCTGAACGGTTGTTCAAGAGACAGTCAAAGTGTTTTCGCCAGATCTGCATTATGTCTGCAGTCTGTGTGCAGGTAGCGCCTGAACTACCATCGATCAACGTCCTCAGTGGCCCCAATCTCGGTCCATACACTGCCTTCAAGGAGCCAGAGAATTCCTTGTTTTATCGGCGTTCGGCGTAGCATTCCATCTGCTTCGTCTCCTCCGTCCAACATGCGTTTTTAATGCGACGGATCTCTCAAGTCATTCGCCGTCGAAGTTTGCGAAACTGGCTACCCTTCCCGAAGTCACTGGGGTCTGCCACATGTGCAGCAAATGCTGCGTTCTTTTCCGACACCAATACGTCAATCAGTGCATTGTTCTCATCAAACCAATGGGACCTCTTAGAGTTTTCGCACCAGATGGTCTATTCCGCAGCAGCTGTCACCTGGTCGCGAATGTGGTGCCACAGGTCGCCCACTGTGGCTATGCAGTCCACATCACACAGGCGTGCAGACATCGCCTTCTCCAGCTCAGTACGTTTCGCCCCAGTACCGAGGGAGAGAATGTTAAATTTACGCCGGTTCAGGGCGGGAGTGCAATACATAGATTTACGAAAATATATGTACAGTTTGGTCCTCACCAATTTGTGTTCAGTGCCACACTCAGCTCCACGCTCTACACGTGTCATGCTCACTTCACGCATATCACGCTGACATGCGATGACATAGTCGAGCAGGTGAGCGTGACCACTCCGTGGGTGCGCCCAAGTTGCTATATCACTCGCACCCAGTGCAAACCGAGTGTTCGTGATCGTCAGGCCGTGAGTGGCACACAGTGAGAGCAGTCTGTCACCGTTCGCATTCGCTGAACAAATGCCATGCGGACCGATAACATCTGTCCACGCTGATGCATCACGCCCAACGCGCGCGTTGAAATCACCCAGCAGAAATAGTCGGTCGCTCCTCGGCACAGACCGTATCACGGAGGATAGCTGAGTGGAGAATTGATCACGCGTGTCACCAGGATAACACATGTGCTGATAAAAGTGGCAAACTTACCTCTTCCGAGTCGTAGGCGAATAGTAATCAGTCACGCGCTGATGCCTCTTGGTTCACCCATCAGCTAGCCATTTACGCACACGGATATTGAAAATCCCACCCCATGATCACGTGGTGCTGAGGTGGCGTTGCCCACCCAGTAGAATGTGTAGCCAGCACCTGCTTCATGCAACTTACCTTGCTCAGCGAACAGAGTTTCCCTGAGCGCCGCAATAGCGATAAGGTAACGCGCCAGCTCCATCGCAACTATTGCAGTGCGTCACTCCGGGCGCTCACTCAAATTCCGGTCCAGTAGTGTGCGCACGTTCCAGCACCCGATACTGAGTGCTTTGCGCGCAGGCATACGACTGCATTGGTGGGCAACCGAGCACGAGGTGGTCGTTGTGCTTCGGAGGTTTGCTTGAGGGACTCCGCCCGCATCCTTTGGCTCAATAGCCTTACTCACAAGGCAGTGGGTGATTTGGTGTTTTGCTTGAGGGACTCCATCCGGAGCCTTTGGCTCAATAGCTTGACCCACAAGGCAGTGGGGAGCAAATGCAGCTCGGGAATGTGATTGCAGATACAGATTGTGATCTGATTGACGGCTGTCACACGCAGCCTTGGAGGTACTGGGACGATTTATATATGTTTTGCGACCGTAGTAGGAGACGCATCTGCGACCACGGCCAGGCGTGAGTGGGTTTTGGCTGGTTTGCACCAATTTGACCAGGGGCTGTCTGGCTTGAGGCGGGCAGTAGCAATCCATTGAACATCCGGATGTGCCCTCCCACCGTCAGAGACAATGCGTGGCGCTCGTGCTCTACGCCAATCGAGCTGTGAGCTTATAACCCTTAGACCTGTTGTCTCCCATGCCTAGTTTTACGGGAAGAGGGCCGTCGACCACTTCCTAACCTCCGAAGAGGATGGACTATGATACTGGGTAGGGCGCCCACTCCAGACAGGAGAATGACTCGGGTCCTCAGCAAAAGCCTTCGACTAAATGTGCACCTGAAAGGCAACGGGTCTAGCACATGGTCAGTTAGCCGACTCTTGCGGATTGGTGTCCTGAATCTTAGCAGATAGAAGGGCTGAACCCAACTCCCACCCAGTGGTCGCCACGAGGTTGTTTGTTGTTGTTACCATTCTACCCCCGCCTATGCGGAGGTAGAATGGTATTAACAGTAACGATAACTGATAAAGAAGAAGCATGTTTTACTTTGCATGAAAAAGACTGATCGTTCAAAAATCGTACACAAGAATTGTCAAAAACAGATGTCTACCCGAATTGTCGATTTGCAAAACAGTTATGAGAAGAAGTTTTAGGTTCATCACTACTTTCATTGGTAAGGTTCAGTGCAACTCTCACCGACTCCTTAAAATTCCTCTCAACATCAGGCGATCCTTCTTCACTTCTCTTGTCGGCTTTGATTCGCCATGGCAACTAGTCTTTCATGGAAAATAGTATTTCATTATGAGAGGCTCTGAGAAAAACCAAGCCCGAAGACCGCAACGCCCTGTGTTTGCTGCATGCAGTTAGTTTCGTCGAGGAAGCTTGAAAACCATGCTTCCGTGGTTGTTCCTTGGGCAAACGTTGGCAAAGCCAGCAGTCAAAAGGAGCTGAAGCAACTTGATTTTTAGTATATGGGGAAACATTCAGCACAACCAGAATCACTCCAACGGTGTGCCATAATTAGTTTGGTAAAGTTCTTTAAATTCTTCAATTAACTTTACTGTAACAATACTCTGTCCAGAGGGCCATATCCTACTTGGCAGCTAGATCTTGGAAGACGTCTAGTAAGGAAGTGATAGACTTCCCTGTACCAGAGAACTTGGCGTGAGTCATGTAATATCACAACTAGCTAAGGAGTCGATACCCTATACAGGACTATCTCTTCAAAAACCTCATAATAGCAAGAAGGAAAGAGGAATGGACAGCATGAACTAAATTTATATATTTCACGTTCAGGGTTATTGGTCGATAGAACACTGTTCGTCTGCTTCAGTTTGCAAGAGTTTCAGCAATTCGTGGGCCAAAACCCAATTTATGCAAGTAGACGGAGTTTGTGATTACTTTCGTCTTGCCCTGATGAGGTTTTCAATTATCTTCCTTTAAACCGAACTATCTATGTGCATAACATTAATTCCACAGGTTGCCTGTGAACACCTGGTGAAAAGACGTGAAATATCTGAATTCAGATTAATCTATCGAAATGTTCATTATTGCTATTTTAGAGTCAAGATCCACCGCGGTTCAATAGCCCAAGTCTCTTGCAGCAAATTATCATACTTTAGTTTCGAGTTCCTTTATGGACGGAGATGCTAATCACTGCTGGTGTGAATGTCCACTTAGGTGAAATATGTCCATCTTTCACTTTTTCGCTTTGGTTGTAACTTCAGCTCGATGTTATACTACATTACATTCACAAAGTTAGAACAAAACACTGCAAATGTCCTCTCCCGGACGCAAGAAGCCTCTTTTGACTTCACTTGAGTCACATAAGGACTACCTGGCTTTCTCAGCTCTTCCAAACCTCGTTGACTGACCTCCGCCTGGGTCTAGATTGGATGATATCCCTTTACATTCCACGTCTGTGTAAAATAAACCCCCTTCGAAAAGATGGAATGCGCGCTACTAACAGTTCACGAACGAACGAAACGGTCATGTAGTGCTCTTCCGGGTGTACAGAAACTGTCTACCAAAGAGCGGCGGTGGTGAGATTCTTTCGAAATTTGGTCCAACTCCTCTTTCATTACTCTGTAAAAAGCAACAATTACATAGGCAACCTTATTATGCCATGGATTGACGGCGGTTCAGCAAGGATAGTCGTGATTCCAGGAGCCAACCCTGCCACTGCACTTTAGAAACTTGCATACTTGTTTGTTTGTGGTGACTATCGTTAACCCCCCATGGAACAGGGTTCTGTAGGGCTAGTTGGAAGCGAAACGATCGCACGCTACAGCCCCTCATAGAGTGGATGAGATTCCCGGTATGGAAGAGCCTCAAAAAGAAAGAAAACGACCGCCTATTTGACTGCGGTTTAACTGCAACCATCAATTATTCTTGATAGTAAGCTTTTCAATAGTCGTGAAGTGCGGTATTGCGGACCAGCAACACATAAAATTAACCGAGTGAAATAGTTGTCGAACTACCCCTCCAATGAAAAAACAAAGGTGGTTAGTTTCATGTCCCTCAGAGCAAGATGCGCTACTAGCCACGTGAGTTGCGGAACTATCGGGTGAGCGAGAGGCTAAAATCCTATGGATCGCTGTTGAATTCTAAGAGTCATGCGTACAGAGTCAAGTAAAATCAGGTCAACTCCAGTGTGGTGGACAAGTAAGCCCGCAAAGCCTCATGTTGCAGACGCCGAGCAATGGAGCGCAAACGCACCAGTGACTTGCAGAGACTATGGGCATAAAAGTGGACACCTGTAATGCACATCCCCACCATTCAAATGGTGTGATGACCTGAGACATTACCGTCAAGCGTAAAATTTTTCCGAAAAAGGGTTACCAGGTTATCGACTAAAATGTCAGTCACCGATACGTGATTCAGTAGCGCCTGGAAAAAATTTACTACCAAACTGAAAGATCTGAACTCAAGTTGTCTTCCAAAAGGGGGGTTCCAGCGATCCTGATCGTTCGCATCCCACACACTGGTAAGGCTCTTCTGTGCTAACGCGGGGAACTACCTATCAAACCGCAATGGCATTCACTAAACCAACACAATCAACCGATGTCGTTACTACCTTGGTGAATTATGAAGACAATCGTAGCATTCTGACAGTATTTCCATATTCATCTCTTTCAACGTCCTATTTCACTACACCTGTCAGCCATGCTTCGCAATTCCTGAGGATTGATTGTGCCGCCGGACGCCATGAATACCGCATAAATGTGTCAGTGCCAAATCATTCTCCGTGTCCCCGGGGGCAAATGTGTCACGGGGTTGGCCCCAGTCCAATAATGGTAAAACCAGATATCAGAGCTGATTCACGCGCACACGCAACCTGATGACTACAGCCGCTCCAAAGTCCGTTATTTCCGCGCGCTCACACATACGCACTCAGGGGCGCGCGTGCATGCACGCGTGATCGGCGCAGGTTGGGCGCGCAAGTACAGCCTGACCTGTAAACGAAGTCTATGGCGCATTATTCTCTGTGCAAGTGCTGATCTCACCGGAAATCCAAAAGCTAGATTCGTTTGGCGTCCTGTATACTGGCCAGCGCAAAAGGACGAAGCACGAAAGCATGCAAATGCGTGTGCACGCTCCTAAAGTATGGGGATCGATCGGTACTTTCGTCAGGGCTGGCGAACGACGGACGGAACAACAAACAAACGTGTTTACGAGGCTCCGGTTCACATGACTACCGTCGAGTAACTGGCAACCGGTAAATAATGGGGATGTACTTATAAACACAAGCGGAGGCGATCTCACTGTCCTCGTGAAATAAGTACCACAACGCAACCAGTCTGGTAACTGGTTCTGAAGCATAGAACACAAGCATGCGTGCGCACACACACATAAGCGACTTACTTGTCAATAAGATTACGTGCCGTAGAAGATAGAATTCCTGAGCGCTCAAGGTGGCTTGGCGTATTTCAGACATGAATTGGGTCAACCCATTAGCGAACTGTCTATCCGGTCGTGTAATTTGGTCAATACCTGCGGTTGTAGCGAACAATAGCCACGGTAAGCCCATGTGATCGGTACCTCGGTCCGGTTGGGTGCTTTGGCTCACAGGATAGGTAGATTTGTCCTCTACGACAACCAAATCCAACGCATGTTCCACCATACTCAGGGCAAGTAACCGGTGCCAACAACCTGCCAGCAACGAGACCCATGACTCCATGCCGTATGAGTCGAAACTACTGGAGAGAGGCAGACCTGCTGATGCAGACTTCATGCGATGTATCACCGGGGCTGAAGTGGCCACGAATTCGGCCACCTGCCGAAGCCATTCCGTGACCCTGGCCTGGACTGGGCGAGCGGTTTTTTTGGCCAGTTGCACGAGTTGGCGGTTGACCAATGGTCTAACAGATCCTTGGATGCTCGAATCATCTTGTTCCATGAGTGGGGATGCAGACACTTGAAGAAGAGGGGGACCAGTGTGTCTGTCCAACCCGGAATCGGTGGACAACGCGGAAGACAGTTGAGATGTGGCAGAGCAATAACCTGATGAGCGATGAGATTGGGGCGGTGCAGGGGCTGATGGCCCTGAGGTGTTTGTGAGTCTGGCCTGAGCAGATTGGGTGTGATGTGTGGTACGGGGACTTGACACTATGGAAGAATTTTGACATGGTAATCTACTCAAAGAAATTCCGTTCGTGTACACGTTGAAGCCAAGAGAATTTTCCTGAGATTTCGAGATACTTCGATTGCGCGCGCTCATTTTAGCTCTATGGTGAAGTACGTCGAACAGGGGTCCGTCCGGTTGACGCCGGTGTTGTAATCTGGCTCTTAGTGTCAATGTAGAATCGGACAATGCACTAATAGTGGCCCCATGGGCACGTGTGTAGGGTCGAGGAGCTGAGTCTTTGGCTTCCATTGAAGTTGTACGATGGCTTGGGTTGCAGCCTGAAGCTCTAAAGACATTCGGATCATCTGAATGCGGATGGCGTTGACCATTAGCGAGAAGTATGGGGTTCGAAGTGTCGGGCGGTGCCTGAGGCCATGAAACAATAGTAGAAGGAGGTTGGGTAGACGGATGCTCCTTCGATTCAGTGAAAGGAGGGTGGGGATATTCAGCCATTGAATCATTCGATTCGCTTGTCCCACCTTTTGAACCAGACGGAGTACGCGGAGGAGAGTTATTCCACACCGGGGTCGCGAGTAGGGGACTAGCACAGGAGAAGGGAGAACGAGCAGCCTGGCTTCCAGTGGACTCGGAATGCACCAGCAAATTATACAGCAAGCCCTCCGTTTTGAACTGGGTCGGAGAGCCGTTAAAATGTCTCGGAGTGGGGGAGGACAGAGGGGGCTGAGGACTGGCGCCAACCGAATTCGGGCTGACGGTACGCACCGAGATGGTAGTAGCGGAGCTCGGACTGGGCACGGTACCTTCGACGGTGGAAGAAGAAAGTTTGATGCGGGAAAGTTGTTCACTACCTTCAAGCATGGGTTCGTGCAAAGTAGCGTCATCTCCTTGGGTTGGACAGGTGGACTTGGGATTATTCTGGGCGGTGACGTTCGGACTTATGCCGTTCTCATTTTTTTCACCTGTCTGTGGTCTGGAGCACAATGTGGCATTGAGCTGTGACTCCTGACTGGTAACCAGCGCCTCAGCGATGCTGAAAGGTGGATGGAGAGATAAACAGATGAATGGAGAGATTACTGGGTTGCTCATTAGCAGAAATAACCACATTCCTAAGGGGGTGCAACAAAGTGAGAATGCTACCGCCAGGCTACGCAAAACAAGGAGGCATTTGTCGTGCTCAGCTGCCATGTGTAGGAGGTAGTGACCGAAAAGGGGTTACTAAGAGCCAGTTACATTGCAGTTTTCTTTACTAATACTTGTGGTTACTGTAACCATCGCAATGAGACTGGACCTTACCGTGGTGCGATGGTTTGTGTGCCTCAGTGATCTATTGAGCTATACTGGGTGGTGCATTTTTGCACCTTCAGAGCCACTCATACCAGATTGGTCATTGGTTAGAGGCCAGACAAATTCAGCCTTCTGGTCATCCAGGTTGGGGGTTGCAATGAGGGTGGCACCTTATTCCTTAAAACGGGCTCATTGTAGCCCAACGCCAAACGGTCAGGTTTCTGAACCAAAGGCTTTGGTTGAGAACCCTAATCGTTCTCCTGTCTAGGCCTGGGCTACCTGACAGTATCCTGTCCACGCAATACAATGAATCACACTTCAAACAAATTTCTTGATGCTCTGGCCACCGCAGAGGATAATAAACGGGGCCCTATCTGCTGCATCGGGCAGGGTGGATAGGGGTTTGGATGCTACTGCTCAAGCCTTCCCGTCTTCTTATTCCCCTTCTTGCGCTTTTTCACCCTTATCGTCCCGTTCCAGCTTCACTTTTATCCCCCCTGCTTTCAACCCCCTGGTTGGGGTGCAAAAGACGGTGAACACGTTTGGCTGGGTACACTTGCTGACATGGCAAGGAGCCGACCTCAGTGGCGTTCCTGCTCTGAGTTTCTTTGTCCCTCCCTATACCTTTTAGCCTCCCCCTCCACCTACGATCTCATTTCTTAGCGTAAAACATAATCATTTTTCTTTTGCCTAGTAGCCGGCTGGTAGCTTACCGGAACGATGCCTATCCGTTGCTGGTAGCTCAGCTGGTATGCAACTGTTGTGTTTATTTTCCTATTCCTTTATGTATTGCGGCACAGTAGCTGAGGTGCTTCCCACCTCTAGCTGACGTGTATAATGAATGATGATGATTACTGTAACGACGAAACTACACTAACTCTCATTATGTCACAAAACGTATATAATCAAAGTTACTTCGAGTCATAAACTTAAACTATGAGCAAGGTCTGGACAGAAAGCGGTTGGGGCCGAAGATTTTGTGGTATAATCTTGTAACCGGGGTTCTAAAGGGTAGAGTAATGTACAAGACAGAACTCACTTCTAGGTTAGTAACGTGCGAGTAGCGAGCGCAAACAGATAAATGTAACAGTAATGTACATGGCAGGCCGATGAAAATGTGACGAGACATAAAGTGCATGCAAATGAAGCGAATGAATACCGGGGCTCATCATCATCATCATCATCATTATACACGTTAGCTGCAGGTGGAAAACATCTCAGCTATTGTGCCGAAATACAACAGACAAGAAGTAAAAACAACAGAGGCACGCCGGCTGAGTCCCCAGTAACGGATGGACATCGTTCCGGAGAGCTAACAGCCGGCTATCGTGCTGTAAAATGTTATATTACGCCTAACGAATGAGATAATGATTGGAGGCGGAGGCTAAGTAGGACAGGGATGGACAAAGGAACTCACAACACAAACGCCATTGGGGCCGGCTTCTAGCCATATCAGCATGTGTGTCCAACCACATGCGTTCATCGTCCTTAGGACGCCAGCCAGGCAGTCGGGATGCACCAACCGACGCCAACTTCGAAGTGAGGGTTGTCGTTTCTCTCGACTAAGTCATCGCTTGTCCTCCCCTTCTCCTCTTCCAACCACACCACCAGCGCGCAAACGATGCACGTCGCGGGAGTCGAGGTGCTGGCATGCGTAACACGTGGCCCAGCCATCGGAGCCTGGTGCGTGATATAATGGTGCTGAGCGGTTCACTCGCTCTTCCTGCACCAAATACGCGACGCCGAACACGCTGATTGCTCACGCGGTGCTCCCACCAGAGATGAACTAAGCTGCAGAGGTAGCGATGATCGAATGTGACGAGCCTCTTTATGTCTGTCGACCTGATGGGCCAGGTTTCACAACCGTATAAGACGGTTGAACGGACAGCTGCGTTATCAACGGAGACTAGTTTGAGGATGTAACCATCTGAAGCGCGAAAAGCGTGTTATTAGTTCAGAAAGTCGGAAGGAGGTAGGAGTTGGAGCACTAGGTCATCAAACGGAATGATCCATATGGTGCAGGATATTAAAATTCTTTTGAACCTTTGAGTCTACAAGTACGTCATTTGAATGGTGTTTATGCTTGACGGAAGGTTGTGACTTACTGCGCCTTAACCCGAAAAGCTGTGATGATTCTTATCTTGTTGCGTTTGTTCACAACATCCTCCTCCTCATTGTATGCGTGTTTCGTAGTGATCGCTGGTTGTCACATGAACACAACTTCTGAGAAAGGAGTTGGCTAAGTGGGCGGATTTAACAAACACTCAGGGTTAAGGTGCCTACGTCAAGTCAGTGAACTCTGGGTCACCAACAAATGGTTGTCGCAAGAAGGTCGGTATCATAACCAAAGATAACCCATGGTTGGAGATGGTTCGGTGTTGCCCCTCCCAAAATTGACACCGCATACCTGGTTTTGTCCCCGTTTGGACGGGAGTAACACCGAGAAGCAACAACGATCCACCTCCAATTCCGATATGACTTTTGTGAACGTAATGACCGTGAGGCTTACTTCGAAGTGAATCGAGGTCTGAATAGAGATTGTGTGTCGCAATCCAACCAAACCGTGGGTACTCCAAACCAAACTTTGAATAACCCATGATTAATTCGTCACCATATTCACTCCAAGTACACGGTCCGGTTAGATGATGGTGCGGGTGAAGTGTTATGTCCTAGGAGACTTCTAGTCTGGCATACGGTGGTTTTCGCTCCAACACCGAACGTCGCCTCAGACACCCTCAACAGTTAGCCAACTAGCAAATGCAGATCACGAAATTACCCATCCAGGGTTAAGTTAAATGGCAATACGAAAACAAACCGTTAGTGTCATGTTCAGTTCAAAGCAAATTCCGTTTCGCATGGGGGTCACTGACCTAGTGCCTAGTGCGCAGCCCTGTCATTACTTCGACGTGTGATCATTGCGATGTTACGAGTAGCCCCAGCAACCACGCATTCTGACGCCCTAGCCGGTATTAATGATCAGTGACACTATCTGACATCCAACACACTGACGAGACCATGACGGTTGTGCGCGCGTCATTACTTAGAAGTGCACGCACGCAGGTGTTGGAACGAGAGGCAAAAAACTGCAATTTTGGACATCCTCTCCCACTGCTTAACGGTGAACGACCATGGGTGCGTCGCAGACAACACACTGAAACGTAGATAGACTACCGTCTCTTCACGAGGCGCATGGACGGGGTAACTGTGGGGGACTAGAAGGAAGGACCTATAACGCCGTTAGATGAGTAGAGAATTTAAACCACAATAACGCACAACTTGACCGAAAGACAGTGTGGAACAACGGCGCCCAAGCAGACGAAGGATCGACATTTCGCATTACCCAAGAAGTGTATGCACTTGTCTAGACTACGACGACAACGCATCTATATAAAACCAGGCAGGTGAGGTAGACAGATGGTTACAGGACAACAGACAATCGCTTTGCCCAAATTGAAATAGTTTGTATTGGCCAGCAAACTAATGCTGTGGTGTCTGACCACAGCAACAACGCTAATTATGATAGACCACAGTTCCAAACGGATTGGCTGAAACATCCCATTGAATCATGAACTGTGTAGTTTTTTCAGAGTCCGATCAATCGAATTCCGCAGCTCGCAGCGGTTAACATCCGTTCACACAATATGTAGGTCACCTATCCGGAACTATCCGACGTAGTAAGTATGAGGTGTCATTAAGAAGCGTAGGAAATGTTTACTGTTCATCCCAGTACAACACTTACGCCAAAGCAGATGGCTTAATCGGGTCAAATCAATTACAACTTATGAAACTGGCGGTGTTAAAGCAAACATCTGAATGAATAAGGGCGATCGTCTGCTTGGGGAACGTGTCCAAGACCTATGTGAAAGTGTAAGCGAGAGAAGAAAGTCGGCAGGCGGGTTCGACGCCTCAAAATGCTATTGGTGTTGCGTTTGCCATCATTATAAAAAGTCACAAGGGGTCGCGACACTTGTCGAGGACATCTCATAACAGCTCTGGACAAAAGCGCGCGGTGAAGCGGTGGGTCGTCGACCCAAGGCAATGAACCCGGATGGGATAAGACAACCTTTAGAGTTGGCATGGAAAAATAGGAAGTTCTCACTTTTGTATTCCCTCTATTACTCTTAGCTGTTGTGTAAATTGTGGGTTGTCGCTGAGTGACTCACGAGCATAGCTAACATCCCCATTTCATTAACAAAAATCAAAACCGGAAATGAGCGCTGGGTTAGGAATTCCTTATCAGACCCTTACAGTGTCGCAATCCAAGACACAATGCTGATTTTTCAAAACTCGACAATCAACTTCTAGCCACTGTGCCAAGCTTGCGGAACTCAATTAATTAGTGAACGTGGCACTATCTGCCAATGAATAAGTGTTGAGTTCCACTCCCAAATCAGAATATATTTGCCCGATGGGACCAAACAAGGACGAAACACGTCGCGGAGTGCAGTGACAATCTAGGTCTTTCCCTAAATTTATTCAAAGTGCTCGGATTCAATGACAGGTGAAATCACTTTTGCTTACGTGGCCTTATCAACTTCTGCCACCCACTCTGGCTCAGCGGTATAAGTTATCGCTTACAAGATGCGAAAAGGTTACGGATCCCTCGCCAGACGGAAGCGGTGCGCTCAAATGACGGACGCCGAAAGTATGCTAAGGTCCTTTAGTTTTTCTGGATTCTAAAGCTTTTATTTTTAGCTTATCCAGGTTAACTGTTTGTGCCCCTTGTTTTTTCTTGAATAGCTGAAC